GAAGCAGAGGAGCTAAACCAAATTTTGGTAATAAGCACTCTACTCTGTTCCTACTTATTGATTAGTGGAAATGAGACAAAGAAGGGAAATTTGGAGGGTCCTTGTCTAGTCTTGTCAGACATAAAACAGGGGCATCCCTGAGTCATATGGGGAAAGGGGATTGTGTGAGTTTTCACAGTCTGCCATAACAAGGTACCACAGACTGGGTGGCTCAACACTGGAAATGTGTTGTCTCATAATTTTTGAGGCCAGAGGTTGGAGATTAAGATATGGTTGCTTCCTTCTGAGGGCCATGACGGGGAGCTGTTTCAGGGCTCTCTCATTGGCTTGCTGATGGCCTCCTCTCACTGTGTGTCTCTTCACATCATCTTTCCTTTATGTGTGTCTATTTATCTTTGCACCCAAATGTCCCCTTTTTATAAAGATACCAGTTATATTGAATTAGGGTCCACTGATAACCTCACTTTAATTCCATCTCTAAAGACCCTGCCTCCAAATCAGGCACATTCTGAGGCACTGGGGGGTTAGGACTTCAACATACCAATTTTGGTAAGGATGTAATTCAGCCATAGCAGTTCCTCACAGTAAGTCATTTTTCAGGAAATAAAAGGATAGATTTTTTAAATGAATTAATTTATTTTTAAAAAATATTTTTATTGATTTCAGAGAGGAAGGGAGAAGGAGATAGAAACATTGATGATAATCATTGATGGGCTGCCTCCTGCATGCTCCACACTGGGGATAGAGCCCACGATGCGGGCATGTGCCCTGACCAGGAATTGAACTGTAACCTCCTGGTTCATAGGTTGATGCTCAATCACTGAGCCAGGCTGGTCAGGCTAGATTTCTTAACCATGGCTCTTTTCCAGGGTCACAGGATTCAAGGGAGTTCAACATTGTCAGCAGGCCACTGAGGAAGGAGCAGGGCAGCTGGAGGTGCTTGCTGCCAAAGTGCTCCAAGGAAGGACTTGCTTGGGGCTCCAGGAGCAGGAGGCGTCTAGAGGGGGATTGTGGCCTTGAGAGGCAGCCCCCAAATGACTGGGGCTTTGGGTAGGGAAAAGCTCATTGGGCAGAGGGGGCTCCCAGGCACTGGCAAATCCCAGCTATGGGGAATGTGGGGTGCAGAGAAGCAGAGGACCTAGACCTGTCCCCCAGGTCTGGGGAACTGGATAGCAATCACCTGGGCTTTGAATCTTGCACTTTGAGCTCCCGGTAAAGGAGCCAGGGGTAACAGGGAGAAAAGACAACAGGGAAAAAAATTCATACTAATATCTTTGTAAATACTCTCCCTCTGGGGAAAGCGGACAAAAGGCTGGAAGGGGTGGCCTCCAGGGGCCAGGTGGCAGGCAGGGACCTCTCTCTTCTGTGCCAGCCCAGAAGGAAGAGAGCTGATCCCCAGGGCCCAGGAGCTAGCCCTCCTCCTGTCAACTCTCCATGGGAGCGGTAGGAAAGTGGCTAGCAACACATAGTCCACCTACAAGGATTCCAAACACACCAATTGCCCAACACACACACACCCTCACACACATTCTTTTCTCTTCAGCTATCACGCACCTGCATGCCCACAAACATCCCTCCATGGCTATACCAATGCTGGCCACTTGTTTGCTGGCAAGGGTAGGCTCATCACAGAAGGGTAGGCAGGCACCCAGCCCCACCCTGGAATCCAGCACCTGGCAAGGGCGTCCCAGGTGTCCGACCTCACTCCAGGGCCCTTCTGTGGCCAGCTGGTCTCTGGGACTGTACATCTGACCTCTCTGACCCATATGGGCACCCGGAGCCCCCACACCTCTGCCAGGGATCCTGTGGCCTCTGGCCTGCCTTCTGTCCTTTCTCTTCCCTTCAAAGTCTAACCCACTTATTCCTGGTGGATCCCAGAGCTTCCTGGGGATGCAAACAGATACTCTCCTGTGCTCACAAATTCCTGCTACCTACACCATCCAGCCCAGAGGACTTCACAGCCCTCATGGACCCTGCTCCTACCATACCCCAATGCTGACTTGGAGTCCCAGGCCATCATTGCTCCCCAACCCCGCACCCAGCAGACCCTTTTCTCAATTGCGCATAGCAGAGGCGAATCTCTGATGTAACAAGAAAATTTATTGAAGAAAAACATTTACTGAATCCATTGAAAAAGGGAATAACAACAGAAAAGAATTTCTAATAGCCACTAGTATACATAGTTCACACCCCCTCCTCCTGGGGTCCCTGACAAGGTGCCTCAGCTTCCCCCCACACCACGGCCCTCCCATCAGTCTCCCTCCCTGAGGGCCCCACAATTGGTCTTTGCAGGACTATGGACGCTGGTGATGTCCACTCACTGCAGGGCTCCCTCCCCCTCTGGATGACATGCCTGCCCTAGGTCTGTTCGGGTGGCAGATGTCTTCAGGTGCCCCTCATTTAGGCCTGGGAATGCTGCTAAGGGGTGCACCCAGGCAGGCTGCCCAAGGTGGCAGGGTTTGGGGCTGGGGCTGGCCTTGGCATTGGTGGCTGAGTGGTGGTTCGCCAGGCCAGTTCCCGTTCTCCTGCCTGCTGGCTCCATACCTCCAGTGGCCCTGCATAAACAAACAGAACAAAACACTGCCCCTCCCAATAATTCCCCCTCCTCGTGACCTCCTCCCCCTCTCCTGTTCACCTCATTATCCTCCTCTTCCTCCTCCTGTTCACCTCCTGTTATCCTCCTCCTCCCCAGTTCACCTCCTATTATCCTCCCCTCTCCTGTTCACTTCTCCTCCTCCCCT